TGTTCCTGAAGGTGGTGGTCGCTCTTCCCTGCCACCTTAAGGACCAACTGCCACACCTGGCCTTCCCCATTTTTCTCTCAATATTTGCTACGCTCTAAGCAAACTGAACATTCTGTTCCCTTAAGACAGCTCACATTTTCCCATGCTCACTGTCCTCCTCGGAATGTTGCCTCAATGAAACCCTTCCCCAGCAGGTTAATTTTTCTTTCTGTGTGCTCCGTAACACTTTGTTAGACTTACACCCCTTCATCTGCTCAGCCTTGTGTCACAGACATTCATTCCCTCTACTTGTCCCACTGCTGTGCACCTCACAGAACACGCTCACGGGGGACTCGCTCCATTTCTGTGGCGACGTCTAACACTTACTCAGCACTGAGGTACTAGCACCTTGGCGACATTTTCATCTCCCTCACAGTGCTTTTGCATGTATGCATTCACAAATACATGGTTTTTGATTTTATGTGAATAGTATCACACTGTAAGTATTTTTCTGTTAGCTTTTTCTTTCACTTAACATGGAAATCTTTTATGTTTATTATATGCAAGTACCATTTTTAATGGCTGCATAATCCACAAAATGGATGTTACCTATTTTATTTAACCACTGATGGACATATTAGGAAGCTTTTAAATGTTTGCTGCTGCAGATAGTGCTACACTGTCTGTCTGTCTTCACACACTTGTGCAGACACTAGAAAGATCACTTGTTAGAAATGGAGTTACTGGGTCAGAGGGTATGCACATTTTTACGTTATTACCAAACTGCCTTCCAAACACACTCAACAAAAGTTGTACCCACCAATAGTGCGTGAAAGGACCTGCTCCTGCTGTCCGTGTCATCGCCCTTTCTCAGTTTTGCCGTCAGTGGCACACGAAACGGTGCGTATCGTGATTCCCATTTCCCTGTCTACTAGTGAGGGTGAACATTTTTACATACGGTGGCTGTCTCTTTTTCTTCTCCAGAAATTGCCTGTTCACATCTCTTTGGCACTTTTTCTATTAGGTTGTCTTTTACTCTGTGATTTGCTCACTTTTTAAATACATATCCTCCGTACTGACCCTTCTCACATACACTGCCAGCAGGCACCCCTAGTTCGTCCTTGTCCTTTCTTTGTGGTTGTGATTGTGGTTTTTAGGTAGGCAGATCTTTAGTCTTTATTTTTAGCGTCTTGATTAGAAGAGCCTTCCTGATCCTAACATTATAAAAATTTTCTTCTGATAGCTTTATTTAACTTTTTAAAATTCATTTGGATTTTATTTGAGGTTTGATAAAGGAGCGTGTTACAAGTTTACACTTTTTTTCCTCTCTACTATTAAAACCTTTCCTACTGATTTAAAATGTCATTTATCAACTAAAGTTCTCTGTGTATTTGGTTTTATTTTAGTTTTATTCCTGTCCCAGTATTGTGATTTTATTCTGTTGCATTATTCTTTTGCATTAAGAGGTCTCTTTCTGAACTTCAGAGACACCTTACAGATTTCATGTAAAAAACATTTTTAATCTCGTTGGGAGTTTTGCTGGGATTGCATCTGCTTTGTGGGTGACCGAGGAGACCGGATGTCTTCACCGTGTTGACGCTCCCCTTCTGGACCCTCTGGTTGGTCTGTCTTCTTTAATCCGTTCCTTTGTCCTGTTGTAAAGTTTTATACCCTTTCCCTTAAGTCCTGTGCCTTTTGTTTGGTTTCTTCCCAGGTATTTCATGGTTTTATTGCCACTGTGAATAAGATCCTTTTTTCTATTGTTTCTTATTGGATTGTGCTACTGGGTAATAAAACTATTAATTTCTATATGTTTATTTCTGACAACCTTGTTAGTCTTAATAGTTTTTTGGTTGATTTCTTAGATTTTATAAGTGTACAATTATATCACCCACAAAAACAATGACATGTTTTGCCCCCCACCCCCATTTCTTCTTGTTCTTGTCTTCCTGAATTACTAGGGAACTCTAGGATACTATTTCCGGGTAGCCATAATAGAAGGCACCTTTCTCGTGTTCTTATTTTTAGGAGGAACACTTCTGTATATTTTAAAGTTAATTGGTTGCTGCTGTGGATATATGATAGAGTCATTTTGTCAAATTAAGAAAATTCTCTGCCCTGGCTGGCATAATTCAGTAGATTGAGCATGATCCTGCAAAGGATCGCGGTTCGATTCCCAGTCAGGGCACATGCCTGGGTTGCAGGCCAGTTCCCAGCAGGGGACACATGAGAGGCAATCATACATTGATATTTCTCTTCCTCTTTCCTTCCCTTCCCCTGTAAAGATAAATAAATAAAAATCTTTTTTTTTTAAGAAAGAAAATTTTCTTGCTCTGGCTGGTGTAGCTCAGTGGATTGAGTGTGGCCTGCAAACCAAAGGGTCGCTGGTTCGATTCCCAGTCAGGACACATGCCTGGGTTGTGGGCCAGGTCCCCAGTGGGGAGCACATGAGGGGCAACCATGCATTTATGTTTCTCTCCCTTTCTCCTTCCCTTCTCCTCTCTTTGAAAATAAGTAAATAAAATTTTTAAAATAATTTTTAAAAATTTTTCACTGAGGATTTTTATCAAAACTCAGTGTCATAACAAGTACTTCTTTGACATCTACTGAGATAATTTTTTCTTTCAATCCATTAATGCAGTGTATCATCTTAATTTTTTTTCTATTGTACTATTCTTGCCTTCTCGGGATAAACACTACGCAGTTATGATATATTCTTTTTAATACTCTCACTACTAAATTCGATCTTATTCAGGATGCTCATATCTATAGTCATAAGCAAAATAGGCTTATCTTTTTCTTCCCTTACTACTTGTGTTTCTTTTTGCTATATAATATGTTACGTACTTCAGAGTTACGTGTAATGGTATACCTTGAACATTCGATAACATTTACTCATAAAACCGAGATTGGTGACCTTAAAGATGGCTTTTTGACTGCCTTTTAAATTTTTAATTGCCATATTCAAGGGCTGTTAATATTCTACCCACTTTTCTCTGATCTTGAGCAAGTTACTAACTTCATCACATCTCAGTTTTCTTAATGGGAAAATGGGGATAACCAAACCTAACTCTCCAGGATTGTTGTAAGGATTAAATGAGATAATACGATTGTTTAAGCATAATTGTGCCTCCCATAAGGTAATGGTCATCAGTAGTAACCACTGTCATTATTGTTATTCCCTCACATGGATTGATGTATAGTAGTTATCTTAATCATCCCCAGCTCTTGCACAGTGGAGTTGTAAACTCCAGACTAGACAAAAGATACAGCCCAGGTAGCGTCAGCTCTGTCTGACACTCTCTCGGTGAGTGTGGATTTTTCTCAGCTCCAGAGCTTTTACCTGCAGTGCTGTCTGTCAGTACACCGGCCCGTGGGCCAGGATGCACCACCTCGTTGTACGGGGAGCCCTGGCAGAGGCTCTTTGCACCTTGGACACCTGCGTCACCTGGAGCTTGCTCTCCGCATTGCAAATGTTTATTTCTGTTATTTATGGAAGATTTTTAACTTGTATAGAATCATGACTTTTATAAAAAGGAAAACTCAGGACCCAAGAATATTCTCTGAGTTTGTTTGTTTTTTTAGCAAATATTTAGAAGTTTTGTCTGCATCCTTTGAAAGGAGTATATGTTAGGCTAAGACAGATGTATAAAGTAGAAAATGGAGGCTTGCATTCTCATCAACAAGCAGCATATGGTTTTTTTTCCAGTCCACTACTTCAAAATCCTTCATCTGATATTCAGAACGTATTTATGTTGAGTCATTTCTTTCTCTTTGCTGGTGAACCAGAAGATCATGAAATGATTATGCAGAGGCAGAAGCATTACGTTCAGTTTCTTTTTTTGTATATATCAGATAAGAGGCTTGCAAATGGCAGTCAGGCCACCTCACATCCTCTGTGTGGCCGTGGCACCGCTGTGGGCCTGCTTGTCCCCGGCACGGCGCTTGCTAGTTCGTCAGCCTGCTTCCGAAGAACCAAGCACTTTGTGATGACAGGAGGCAGTACTAAGAACAATGTGAGATTCTGAAAGGCTACTTTTGTTTTTACAGACATTTCTTTCCTTCTTTTTAGTGTTTAGAAACTGCTATTTTTTTAAGAGTGTTACGAGGGGGGAGGAGAGGTGTGCATATTTAGAATTAGGATTTTTGAATCTTCAACTAGGAAGGGAATACAAAAAGTTCTGAAGTTCAGCTCAGCCTAAGCCTCTAAATCACCCTTTCTGCACCAAAGCTTCTAGTAGAGAGAAAGCGCACAGGTCAGAGGAGTGAAAGCAGCTTGAGAGGCTGCCTCTCGGTAACCTTTACGAGTCATAGAGGAGAAAAGGGCAGCCATCCCGAGGGTCTGCCTGTTTCCCCAAAGCGTAAGGGACCTGCACACCTCCCTTCCCTCTTCAGTTCGCTTTCTTCCATTCCGAGCGCCTCCCTGTAACCCGCGGGCATCTGTGCAAACAGCCCTACCTAAGGAAAAGTCTGCTAAAGAATGTTTTCTGACATCTTCAGAGTATGTATGTATTTGGGAGTGTTTGTCATCTCATAAAAAGTAAACATGGAAAGCCCTGGCCGGTGTAGCTCAGTGGATTGAGCACAGGCCTGCGAACCAGAGGATCGCGGTTCAATTCCCAGTCAGGGCACATGCCTGGGTTTCAGACCCATTCCCTGCAGGCCAGTTCCCAGCAGGGGAGGCACGAAAGGCAACCATACATTGATGTTTCTCTCCCTCTCTCCTTCCCCTCTAAAGATAAATAAGTAAATAAATAAATAAATCTTTTTTAAAAAGTAAACATGGAGCGGGGACCCTGGAGCTCTGGAAAAGTGACTGCCAGTTTTCATTACCAGCCAGGAAGCAGGGTTTTGGTCTGTTTATTTTTTCTAGCTGTTACTATATCTTACTATTATCGCTGAAATATCAGGGAAGTAACTTCATGATATTGTTATGATGTTACTTACATTATTATTGTATATTTTATTGTAAATTTCACATTATTTTTTCATTAAAGCATCAATGGTTTTTTTCCCCCTAGAGCAATAATGAAATTTCACAGTATGAAAATGGAAGAAATCAATAAAATCATTCGTGACCTTTGGCGAAGCACCTATCGTGGACAAGGTAGTGGACGTGGTGCCCACTGAGTGCTCTTTCCAAAGCCTGTCCCAGTGCTGACCCCACACGGCCTCTCAGCAAGCCCGTAGTGCCTCCTGGACCTTCCTGAACAGCTCTCTGATGTTTTCTAAGCATTCTTATCTTGACAACATCTTGTAGCCAGAAAAAAATGCAGAGGTTTCTATTCCAGAGCCTGGCAAAATTGACATATTTGGCTACAATGCACAGTAGATTTAGCTGACCGTAGGTGCTGTGTGCTGTTGAATGTCCATAGGGATAAGCCAAAATGAGAGGAACTAACTGGCCAGGAGGAACCCGCTAGTAGACGAGCGAGGAAAAGCAGAGCTGGGACTGAGGGGCGGGGCGCCGGGGCTGCTTCCAGCCAGGAGCCCCCGTGAATCTCAGCCAGACACACACATGGTTCCAGACAGCCCGGGTTTTCCCTACACGGCCAGCGTCGCATGTCGCACCTGGGCTTGGTTAAGGATGGTGTGTGCAAATGACAACAACAGGCCGCGGGGCGTGGGCTCCTCTGAACCTGTCTTCCTTTTGTGTCAGATATTGAATATATAGAAATCAGGTCTGACGCCGACGAAAACCTGTCAGCCTCTGATAAACGGCGGAACTACAACTACCGCGTGGTGATGCTGAAGGGGGACACGGCCTTGGATATGCGAGGACGGTGCAGTGCGGGGCAAAAGGCAGGTATCTCAGGAAGCCGGGGGCCGCCTTCACCCAGAGAAGTGACAGAATAAAGGTCAGTGCGGCGGAAGCACCCAAGGTCACTTTCAGCGGTGGGAGCTCCTTATGCCGCTCCTGGCTGCCACGTAAGTGGGTCAGGATCCACTTTCCTCTGTACGTCCCCCACTTCTAACCAGCGTTCCCTGCAGCATTATGTAAGTGAGACTTGTAGGAGAAGGGCCTGAAATCTCCTCACAGGACAGGCTCAATGCAACATGTAAAACAAGGAGCTGAAGAGCATTCAGTGTTTTACGGCATTCCTGATGAGAGTAAGGTAAGACACACCACTATTTTATGTGCCAGCAAGAAAGAAGAAACGCGATTATCACTATAAGATGCCTCCTGATTTCAGAGAAGTCGCAGGGGGTGAGCGGGGTGGTGTGTTTTAGAGTCAGTGACATACGCTATTAGCGAACCAGGTCCTGGGTCAAACCAGATGTGGCATTACTGCACACAAGAGTCTCATTGAGGAAGCACCCCCATTGTAGCCCTGAGTCCCCAACCCCCCTCCCCCCCACCTCGCCTTGGGGCCTGGAGACCGTCTGCTCCAGCCAAAGGCTGAACGTCACTGCACAGGCTTGTACCCAAGATGTCACAGGGTCTTGAGCTTCCTCCTTTCACACTGGAAGCAGATTATATTGATAACACCTCTGGACCCTTGATTTTCTTAACAAATTTTTTAAATTCTAGAAATGGATGCTCACATTACCTGAGTAACTTTCATAGTTTTCGGTTTTTACCTAAAGACACTCCATGCGTGGATATACTTGGTTGTCAGTTCAGACAGCTGTACCAATTTAAGACATCTGCAGATTACTATCTTAATCATAGTCTGCAAAAAATGACAAATTTGTGATCTCTAATCAGTATCCTCTACTTGCTCTGGTGATTTTTAGTGGTAATTATAAGTGGGAACATAGAGTTTGAAACATGTTTCTTTGGATTAAAAATACTTTCTAAAATAGTTTCTGAACAAAACAGGTTGTCTGTAGCTACTCTCAAATACAAAAATTAATTAGTAATTTCTTTCTTGGAGTTGGGGGAGAAGACAGACAAATGGTTCAGTAGACACCACTTTGAGCAGGTGGCGTGGAGGCGGCAGCGGCAGCAGCCCAGCACCCATGCAAGAGCCTGAGCAAAGGGCTGCACTGTGGCCCTGGCTTCTGCATCTGCTGGCCTGCTCTGGGCATCCAAGAGAAGCTGTAAACTGCTGTAAGATCACTCACTCACTCACTGATTCCCCTGCACTCACAGGTTCAGGGGAGGGGAGAGTTACAGCTCCCACAAAGGTGGTGCAGACTTCCTAGCGTCATCCTTCACTCTTCATTCCGGGTGCCTTGTACCCTCAGGTGGTTTCAGCTGGCCCAAGAGGTTTAGTGTTGGGTTTCTATGAACCTTGAAAGTGTCTTGAAAGTTTGGGCCACTTGGATTTCCTAAGGTGAGCTCCCATGACACCGCCCTCCTGTGCTCCTGCTCCTTTGGTCCAGGAATTCATTCTCTCTGAAAATGATATATGTTACGTATGTGTGTGTGTGTGTGTGTCAGAGCGTGGTGCAGATCAGGCATCTCTCTGGACCATGGAAAGTAGAGACTTGGGGAAGCCGGTGAGAGGGGAGATGTCTCCAAGGCTCTGGAAAGTGGAAGGCGTCCTCATTTTCTAATCCCATTATTGGGAAAATAAAATAGGTTGAGAATTTTTAAGGTGGTTTATTTTAAATCCTTACTAAAATGATTAGTCACAGATAAATGGTATTGCCTTTCAGACTCCCATCTGTGATTTCAAGCTTTGTTACAGCTGATGGGATTGGGGAAGGGGGCAGTCAGCATTGCTTTTAGCATTTCAGTTTATTGCAAACAGTGGGCTGAGATAATGCACCTGATGCTTCATTTTCTAGAAAGTGGCAGGAGTCTGGTCACCGTGCCTTCTCCCCAAACGGAAGAGCAGTGACTCACCTGAGGTCGGGGACGCTGTGACCTTCCCCATCTGCAGGGATTGAGCCTGCTCTCCATGCTTGCCCAAGTGAATGGGAAGAAGGTCTGTGCAGCGCGGCTCAGCTCTGGTGTTTTCTTCCAGGTGTTGGCCTCCCTCATCATCCGCCTGGCCCTGGCGGAAACATTCTGCTTGAACTGCGGCATCCTTGCCTTGGATGAGCCAACAACAAATCTTGACCGAGAAAATATTGAATCTCTTGCACACGCTTTAGTTGAGTAAGTGTCTCACGTTTGGGGACAGGTTACGATTGTAGTCAAAGTAAGATGAAGAGGGCTCCGCAGTGAAGCCCCTCTCTAGATGCGTCTCCTTGGAGAAGCTGGGTGACTTTCCCTTGTGACAGTGATTGGTCAGAGTTTTTAGAAAGAACCAGCTGGTGACCAGCAGCAACAGAGACATCATGCCTGTCCCCACGTGTGTTCATAGGGGAACTCTGGTTTGGCTTTCCAGTAAAGCCACCCGAGCCCACGTGTCATGTACCAGACTTAATGTGACTTGCTAAAACATTCTGGGTGGTGACAGTGGTTTTGGACAGGATCCCCCAGCCTTTGACATGCGTCAAACATCTACAAGGAATTGTGGCTCTTACTCAAAAAGCATAGCAGTGTGACCCACACACAGGAAAATTGCACACACCTTCAACCACATTCACCTGGGGTGGGGGCGGCCACCTCGAGGGGCAGCCCTTGCTTAGGACCTGTGCTGCAGAGGAAGAGCCTGTCCCCTCGAGTTGAGGGGCTGTTTCAGGTACTCCCAACTCCAGCTAGATGCTCTGGGCCGATGTAATGCTGGTAGCAGGGCTCGGCTGGGGGAGAGCCAGGCGGCCGCGGAGCCACCTTTCTCCAGCTGTCTCCCAGGAGCCTGTGTGGCCAGCACTAGAGGGCTGGCGCTTTTGGAACCTGAGCGCATCCAGCGCCAGGCAAGGGATGAATGAGTCGATTATGTCTTTCAAGCCTCAGCCTCCTAGTACCCAGCACGGAGGTAATGAGCACAGATGCGCTCTGCACACCCACACAGGCCCTGTGTGTCATACCAGTGATGTGTCTGACGGCTGGGGGTGGCAGAATTCTAAGTAGACACAGCTCCTGAGAAGGCAGTGGGCCTTGCATATGTTATTCCCCCTGCCTGTAGTCTGTCTTTAAAAAAGTTTTCTTCTTCCAGAGAAAACTAGTCACAGGTCAAGAAAACCCCAGGCTCAGGAATAAGTCAGACTCCTTGAGCTGAGCAGCACAAAGATTAGGGAAAACAGCAGGACACTTCCACCTGCTGTGGTGAGAATTTGTGTTCTCACCCCACATAAGCCAGTTCCGTGGGAAGAGTCAGGCCATGCACCCATGCTGTCTGGACGGTGCTGGGACTCCTGCTGGGCTGGGTTAGAGGCTAGGGTCCCCCTCGCCCTCCCCCACTTCCTGCAGGGCTGTCGGGCCGACACTCACACGGCACAGGAAAAGCCCGGTCACCACACAGCACAGTCATGTGTCTGACAAGGCTGTCAGTGGCTTTTTCAACTAGAGGAAAGGGTTACTTAGGCTCTTCAGTAACAACATATTCTAAATGTATTGTTTCAGGATAATAAAAAGTCGCTCACAGCAACGTAACTTCCAGCTTCTGGTAATCACTCACGATGAAGATTTTGTGGAGCTCTTAGGGCGTTCTAAATATGTGGAGAAATTCTACAGAATCAAGAAGAACATTGATCAGTGCTCAGAGATTGTCAAATGCAGTGTTAACTCCCTGGGATCTTATGTTCATTAAAAATACTCAAGATTTAATTGTCTTGGAAACACCGGTCCTCAGGCAACTGCTTATTTCTGGAATCAGCTGAGTCAGTAAGCAAATATATTCTTTGAAAGTAACTTTGTGTCTAGGATTTTCAATGTCTGAGAGATTCTAAAATGATTAAAATTTTTTCACATGAAACTTGGACTGATTCCTGAACTTCACCCCCCCAGGCAGCCCGACAGGCCTGCAGGCCCAGCCGGCCCAGCCTCAGCCTCGCTTCTCTCTGTCCCTCCCCAGCAAACAGCAGAGCTCCCCGTGCCCGGGGCTGTTCCCTTTCTCTTTTTAAAACACTGGTGAGAAGTAGGTTCATGCTGCCTTGACAATTTATGGTTGTGGTATTTTTTAAAAAATCAGTGTTAAGTGTTACCACTAAACTTATTTTCTTGGATGTGGCTTTTTGAAAAGTTATTAGTATTTCCTGATGATGACCACAAAAAATGAGATTTTAATGTATGGCTCCACTCTTAACTCTGTAAATCCAGCCAAGTGACCTCCCACTCTGGCCTCAGTTCCCCAACTAAAATTTCAGGGAGTTGGATGGGGCTTCATGGTCTCACGGGAACCTCATGTTCAGGGGTGTCAAACTCATTTTCTCCAGGGGCCACATCAGCCTCACGGTTGCCTTCAAAGGGCCAAATGTAATTTTAGAATTGTATAGATGTAACTACTCCTTAACTAGGGGCAAGGAGCTCAGTGCTGCCACTGTATAGAAACAAAGTACGGGGACGGATGAAGAAGGTGGAGGGCTGGGTTCAACCCGTGGGCCTTGTGTTTGCACCTGTGGTCTAGTCCAGTGTCCACTCTCTGCCCTCCCCACACATCCCGGTAGGGTGTCGTCCAGACTTGGCTCTCTTGCGAGAGGAAGCTCCCTGCTGTGCACACCCCCTTCGGACAGCTCTGACCTAGAACGAGGCCTCCGTTGGTGCTAAGTCTGTAACTCCTCTGTCTAGCTCGGGTGCCCTCCCAACCTTACCCTCAGCCCCAGTTGCTCTCCAAGTGTGCACTGCAGGGTGGGAGGTGAGCAGGGTCCCGCACTGAATCACAGCCTGCTCCTTATGGGGTCCAGCCAGACCTGGAGGAGCAGGCCTCTCATTTCACCCAGGCGACACTGCTGATAAAAGCCACCCACAGCTTTTTCTTGGAATTGCCAGGTGACATCCTGAAGCCTCTCACAATCATTGCATACAGAATGCTACCAAAGTAGCATCCTTCTGAGCTAGACATGTGGGGTTGGATTGTTCAGAGCCTGCCGGTTGTACGGCACAGTTTTGTCATTCTGTATGGTCCAGACAGCCCTTCTGAACCGGGGTGTGGTGCGAGTTAGCTCTAAGGGCCTTACTGGGGGTAGATGGTGACGGAAAGAGATTAGGCTTTGGGTGGTGAACACACAATACATTGCACAGATGATGTGTTACAGAATTGTATACCTGAAGTCTATATGCTTGTATTAACCAATGTCACCCCAATAAATTCAATTTTTAAAAATTAGGGGGAAGGGAGGAAGTTCTGAGGTTCTGAGGTGTCTGGTAGGCTGAATAATAACCTCCCAGGGTGCCAAGGTCTTAATCCCTAGAGCCTGGAACGTTACCTCATATAGCAAAACGGGCTTTGCAGATGTGATTGGAGCTAAGGATGGTGAGACGGGAGCATGCTGGTGGGCCTGAATGTAATCGCCAGTATCCTTACCAGGAGGAGGTGGAGAGGCTGGTCTGCAGAAGAGGGGGCCAGGCGTTCTCAGAACACAGTGAGCACTAGAAGCTGAAAAGAAAAAAAATCAAAAGGACCAGTTTTCCCTTCTGAACCTCCAAATGAAACCAGCCCTACTGGCCCCTTGACTTTTAGCCCAGTAAAACTGATCTTGGTCTCCTGACCTCCAGAACTATAAGAGAACAAATCTGCATTGTTTTAAGCTGCTTGGTTTGTGGTAATAGGAAATGAATGTTCTATTCAGTGTATGCAGTCAATTTCTATGCATATAAAATGATACTAGTTATGTACTACTCTTGAGTTGGAAAAAATAACTCAAATTATTTTCTGTTCATACACAAAAATAAATTCAAGGTGGATAAAAGATTTAAATATAAGCCATGACACCATTAAAGTCCTAGAGGAGAACATAGGCAGGAAAATCTCAGATATTTCACGCAGCAACATTTTCACTGATATGTCCCCTAGAGCAAGGGGCGTAAAGAATATAAACAAATTGGATCTCATCAAAATAAAAGGCTTCTGCATGGTTAAAGAAAACAGTGTTAAAATGAAAAGAGGACCAACCATATGGGAAAACATTTGCCAATGATACCTCAGACAAGTGTTTGATCTCCAAAATGTATAAAGAACTCACATGACTCCACTCTGAAGACAACCCAATTAAAAAATGGGCAAAGGACTTGAACAGATACTTCTCCAAGGAGGACATACAGAGGGTCCAGAGACACATGAAAGGATGCTCAGTATTGCTAGCTATCAGAGAGATGCAAAGTAAAACCACAATGAGATACCACTTTACACCAGTCAGAATGGCCATCATAAACAAAGCAACAAATAACAAGTATTGGAGGGGTTGTGGGGAAAAGGGAACTCGAATGCCCTGTTGGTGGGATTGCGGACTGGTACAACCACAATGGAAAACAGTGTAGAATTTTCTCAGAAAACAAAAAATGGATCTGCCTTTTGACCCAGCAATTCCACTGCTAGGATTATATCCTAAAAACCCTGAAACAGCAATCAAAAAGAACCTGTGCATCCCAATGTCCATAGCAGCTCAATTTACAATAGCCAAGAGTTGAAAGCAACCTAGGTGCCTGTCAGTAAATGAATGGATCAAAAAATTATGGTACATATACACAATGGAATTCTATGCAGCAGAAAGAAAGAAGGAGCTCCTACCCTTTGCAACAGCATGGATGGAACTGGAAAGCATTATGCTGAGTGAAATAAGCCAAGTGTTGAAAGACAAATACCATATGATCTCACCTTTAACAGGAACCTAAACAACAAAACAAACAAGCAAGCAAAATATGACCAAAGACACTGAAATAGAGAACAGGCTGACTGACCAGAGGTAAGAGGGGAAGGGTTTGCAGGAACAAGTATAAAGAACACATGTACAGAAACAACGGAGGGGGGTTGAAAATGGAAGGAGGTGAGGAGGGCTTGGGGGGTTGGGCTGGGATGGAAGTAAAAGGCAGAAAACTGTACTTGAACAATTAAAATAAAATTTCAAAAAAAATTATTTTCTGTGTTCTGTGATTCCCACGAAGGACCAGGTTGAAAAGGGCTGTCTGAGGCCCCTTCTCATGGCGACGTTGTCATCCTAATTAGCTTTGAGAAACTCAGACTGCCGACATTTACCAAACAAGCATAACCTGGACAAAGGTGCCACCAGAAAAAACAGCAGACCAGTTCTCACTCAGAGCATAGATCCAGGAATTCCTAAATTAAAAACAAGTCAATTTCAGTCGTATTAAAATAAACATAACAACTAAGGTGTTTCTATCCTGAGAATGCAAGACCATTTCAGAAAATGAGAAATCTGAGAGACTTCTGCCAAGATGGAGGTGTAGATGGAAACACTGTACCTTCTCGCACAACCAAGTTTAAAAACAAAGTTTTAGCAACAAAAACGCAGCCAAACCACACAAAATTGAATTGTATGGAAGCCTGACAACAACCAACCTTTCAGCCAGAGCAGTAAGAAAAGCGAAGCCAGCATTGGAGTGGGGTCGGGCAGGAAAGATCCACTGGATCGTCCCGGGTGAGTGACCCAGGTGTGCAGGCAGCCGTGGGCAGATCCCAGGTGTGGAGTAGCAGTGGGCAGACTCACTGAGGGCTGACTGTGGTCACACATTCGCGCACAGATAAACCAGCAAAGGACTGAGCGGTGAGACGGACCATGCAGGCCCCAGCAGTGGGAAACAGCAGAGGGGACTGCCATTGTCCCTCTCTGACCCGCCTCCACATTACAAACCAGCGACCTGGGTAGCCCCGCCCTGGTGAACACCTAAGGCTCCACTCCTCATATGTAACAGGCGTGAACAGAGCAAAATATTATGGCTCAAGAAGAACTCAAAGCCCCAGAGCCCATAATTCTAAGTGACCAAGAAATAGCCAAACTTTCAGAAGCAGAGTTCAAAACACTGGTGATCAGGATGCTCACAGAACTGGTTGATTATAGTCACAAAGTAGAGGAACATATGAAGACTAAACTAATTGAAATGAAGGGAAATGCACAGGAAACCAATAGTAATGGAAAGGAAACTGGGACTCAAATCAATGGAGTGGACCAGAAGGAAGAAAAAAATGCCCAAACAGAAAAGGATGAAGAACAAGAATTCAAAAAAAAATGAGGAGAGGCTTAGGAACCTCCAGGACATCTTTAAACGTTCCAACATCCAAATTATAGGGGTACCAGAAGGGGAAGAGAACAGCCACGAGTGGAAAACTTCTTTGAACAAATAATAAAGAAGAACTTCCCCAATCTGGCAAAGGAAATAGACTTCCAGGAAATCCAGGAAGCTCAGAGAGTACCAAATAAGTTGGGCCCAAGGAGGAACACACCAAGGCACATCATAATTATATTGGCCAAGATTAAAATGAAGGAAAGAATCCTAGAAGCAGCAAGAGATAAGGGGACAGTCACCTACAAAGGAGTTCCCATCAAGACTGTCAGCTGATTTCTCAAAAGAGACCTTACAGGCAAGAAGGGGCTGGAAAGAAGTATTCCAAGTCATGAAATCCAAAGACCTACAACCAAGATTGCTCTATCCAGCAAAGCTTTCATTTAGAATGGAAGGACAGATAAAGTGCTTCTCAGATAAGATCAAATTCAAGGAGTTCATCATCACCAAGCCCTTATTATATGAAATGTTAAAGGGACTTACCTAAGAAAAAGAAGATAAAAAAGATGAACAGTGAAAGGACAACAAACACAAAGTTATTAACAACCACACCTAAAACAAAAGCAAACTAAGAGAACAGCTAGATCAGGAGTGAACCATAGAAATGAAGATCACATGGAAGGTTAGCAACAGGGGAGTGGGAGAAGGAGAAGGGGGGAGAAGGTACAGAAAAT